TCATACTTTTGAACAGTTAGTTAAGGTACAATGTTATTCAAATGAACTTTCTATAAATGTGGTTCATATAAATGAATTTTCTGAAGATGTGGTTCATGAGTTTTCTAAAGATGTGGCTCATATAAACAAATATTCAATCTGGTGGTTCAAAGAAATGAATTTTTCTAAAGAAATGTTCATATACCGTATATTTCCGAATATAATGTGTAAGCATATACATATAATGTACACCACTATCATCTCCAGTATATCTGGTAAAATCTCTATTATCGTAAATAATGTGCACCCCTTCCTGACCAAAAAATCAACAAGTTGGCATAACGCAGACACCATGATAGTGATTGGTCATATCCCATATTCACTTATTTAGGCTTACTTGTAAACTTGGCTACTTTGTACAACATTTCTTCAATGTCATCTTCCCTTTTTCCTTATATCTTAAACGTCATCTTTGGATAATTCAATATTGATATTTGTAAAGGAAACATTCAATTCCATCATCATGGTCCAAAAACACAACAATCGCTTGTAAGACAATATACCAACATAATACCCAAGATAATATTCTAGTTTCCAAGAAATATTCTGTTACTTGGTAGCTCTAGGCCATCATTAATACAGAAATTGTATAAGACGCATCTTCTGAAGATAAATTCAGAATATTGCTGATATGAAAGTATGAAAGATTTGGCATCCTCATCCATCAATTTCCACACTTTCCAATCATTAACCATCCTACACTCTAGATATACCGTATTACATCTCCAGTTACGCAAATTACGCAATAAAAATTGACGTCAGGAAACATAGGTCATAAATCTAACGGAAATTTCAATTCTTAATTACAGTATTCCACATTTATGTGACATCTAAAGATCGTAAATATTAAAGCTGCTTAAATTGATATGGAATTTCAATATTAAGTTTCAACATTGGAAATAAGATTTGTACATAACTTTGTAATTTTTTAAGACTTAGAATTAATTTTTTTTCAAAATCTTTTAGGTTAAATTAAGATTATTACTGATGGTAGTAATATATTGACCAACTGAAAAGACTGGATATTAGAATTCACTTTTTAAAGAAAAAATGACAAAGTTTAGGGACTATAAATTCTAATTTGAGAAATCTAATATTTACCCAATTAGGCCTACTTAAAAATATTTTCAGTAGTGACTTGGGTAAACAATTCCAAAAAGCCCCCAAAAAATCACAATAAAAAGTAAAAGTGAAGAACAAACAAACCACAAAAAGGAACCCTTAATTCAAAATAAGAGTTTCATAATACATTGGTATCAACTTAGAGTAAACATGAGACAAAATGCTCAAATGACATTTGACATATCAGAAAAGACATTAAATAACAATATATTAAAGCCGAGCTATTACAAAATACAAGTCTATTTTGTTTTATTGATGATTTATCATTTGAACTATCCTTTGAAAAAAATTTGATACACTTTTAAACAATGTGATTATTACATCAAAAGTTTCAAAGCCATAGACATAGAAACTATTATGTAATCTGAATCTAATGGAAAATATTTTGCAATTATCAGATTCTCTTTCATGTCAAAGATACAAACAAATTTCATTTTCAATAGTTATATGATTTTTCAGATATTTGGGCTTTTCTTTATTGATTGAAATCTTTGTTGATTATAACTGGGTAAAGACCTTTAAAGTCATACAAATATTGGAGAGTAATTGTATTCTAGTTAATATGTTACATAGTAATTGAATAAATATATTATATCTCCCTTGTGTGCTATTATATTATATAGTTCTAGTAATCTAGCTTGGGGGATTTCCTTAACATTTAACATAAACATCTGCACAGATAGAGAATTAGTGGATAAACTCTTAACAGCAATCAAAAATGTCTTCTGGAAGTTCAATGTCAGCATATTTGTTGTAAGTAAGTAGCAGATGACAGTCTATTCCATTGAAAACAAAATAAAAATCATTGTTTCATACCCAAAGTTTTATTTAAGGTATATGAAGAATATTGTTAAATGGAAACATGGCTGATATTTTATTCAACTGACCATATGTGTCCAATTGGCCATACACTGATTGGTTATGACAAAGAAATATTTTGTTTTGATCCCTTGTATTCAGAAATTGGGAATCTTCCTTCCCCATTTTTGCTAATACCCCCTCTTTCATAAGTACAGTGAAAGGATAAGATATAGAAATCATTCAAACAAGTCTGATCCCAGGAACCTTATAATAAAAGAAAAAAATTTATCTTTTCCGGGAAAGCTTTAACAGTATCTGCCAAACGACAGTGTCAACCTCTACTCAAGTCAGCCTATATTGACAGATATAATTACAAAGACACCGACAGACTTATCCTAATAATCCCTCTACTGACTTCTCTCTAATCAAGTAGAGATAATCCAGCTTTATTACAGATAAGAGTTTGGGTCGGAAATAAACTGGGTAGGTCATGTTGATAAAGCTATCAAAGTCTGATATAAACAGGTCAAGCCTAATTACATAAGTAATTCAAAAGATTTTTCCCATCATAAGATATATGAACCTTAAAGATTGGAAGTGTATGATTGGGATCAAAAGGGACAAATTTTACGATTATAAGTGCATGATTCCAATTTCAGTATAGTTGAGTATATTAACAGATATAAATGTTGAAGAAACAGAAAAAATCATATTGATATGCAAGGAAAGCATAAACATAGCACATACATTTAAGCATTTGACATAGCAAGTGGATTTGGAAATGCAGGTAAAGGTCTTATGCTTGTGAAAAGAAATAACTAGAGATCTACATCCAAATTTAACCTTTGGACCATACCAGCATAAATATACTTCTTATATTTTTAATTGTTGAGCCTCAACCCATCCAATGACCAGATCCTTGTTCTAATCTATGTCAGAGTAACTAAATTGCAAAATTTCAAAAGTACTTCATCTCGTAACCTTAGAAACAGCCTGGTGGGAAACAAAGCTAAGTGTGGGTGTTTAAAAACTCTCATTAAGTAGCATTTAACCTTTCAAAAAGATTCTCAAAACTGTTTTCTGTTAAACTACTAATGGCTGTATTTAAGTGGATAATGATAGTTTCAGCATTATAATAAAAAAGTTTTGACAAAAACTTTTGCTGCAGTTTCTCACCATTATCATGAGAATTTACCATAGCACTTATTTGCCTCAATATTATTCTAGTATTTATGAACTGTTGGGAAATTTCTAAACTTCATAAGAGTTGTGTAGGCTTATGGAGTATATACTCAGATGCTACATGACATCTCTGCTTTTAAAATGATATTGTACTGGTAAGTCGCTATCAAATCAGTATCAGCAATGTGCAGTGCCTGTCTCAGAATGTTAAATTGCCTGTCTTTCACTTCTGGTTGATGTACTTCTTCATGTAAATGTTCATTAGCTGCAACCAATGTTACCTCAAAATGTTGTTTTGGATTATAGGTTTCATTTTGCGGTTTGGATCATTAGTACTTGTTATTTTTTTTTTTCAGTCATATCTTATCAAAGCTTTACAATGTAAACTTGTACACCTGTTTTTGGGGGAGTATTTTAGTATATAATAATAAAAATGGGAAAATTTCATACACGGAGTATAAATTCAATATCAGTAGTATTTACCAGTCATGTCTAATTGAAGCCCCAAAATGCATCATAGAGTTAGGTCTATGGACAATTTCCCATAAAATTAGTAACAGAAAAATGTTTTTATGTTAATGTAGCCATTGTGAGAATGATTCTGATGTCAGATGCTATGACATCTCTGGTATAATATACTGTTAAACCCCACACTAATCAATACTGTTATCATATATATATATATATATATATATATATATATATTGTATGTATATCATACCAATATGACTATTTACTGTATTTTTAACCTAAATAAATGACCATATGTCTCACAATAAATATGGATTAGTTTCACCAGAATCCTCTATCATGTGTTTATATTTGACAAGCGAATACAGATGCTATCACACAACAGAAAAATATTCATTGGCAAGTCTCTCTAGAAATATGATTTGATTTGAGACATTCTTTTCTCTTGTAAAATTTCATGCAATGCATTTTTTATGGAATTTATTTGTTTGAAGAACTCATTATACAGTTAAAGAAAATGCACATTTTTGGTATATTTTAGTGAACTATATACTGTGTTAAAGGGGCAAATGCGCCATTTTTTTGATGAATCATACCTTAGTGTCAGAAACATTTTTTTTTTTAGCTCAGCCAATCTGTAACAGTGTTCACATCTCACCGTCGAAATTTGAGCAATCCAGAATTATCTGCTTTGAAAGTTATATAGAAATAGGACAAGAAATTCCTAGTTTGAAATATTTTGAGATAATTTTCCTACATTTCTAGTACTTCTGACGACTATTTATATATATTCAAGACACAAATCAACCCCCTACAATGGCGCATCTGTCCCTTTAATTTATATAAAATCTTACAGACTCTATCTTATCCACAACAGAACATTATAAATGTTGAAAATATGTATATATAAAATAATCAATAACTTTTCGATACAACATGTGGCTGGCTCTCATGGAATTTGATCTTATTTTACTTTTTCTATTTATACCAACATTATGCAGAAAATTTAATAATCAATGAATACCTTGGTGTAAAGAAAATCTTGTTTGAATAAAAGTAGTTTAAGCATTATGCTATATGGCTATGTACCTTGGTTAGATGGTTTTACAACTGGACCTTTCAGTGAATAGTATGAAATCCAGTGATTTCCTTTAGGGCACCCTTGATCTGGTGTTAGGGTGTATTGAGACGAGTCGCAATGAAGGCACTGGCTTAGGTCACAGAGCAATAGATAAGTCTTTTAATTATGTGAAAATTAGTTAGTCATTAGTATGATTTTAGTTGGTGTTATTAATTTAAGACAGTCACTATTAATACTAGAATGATGTGTGAAGAAACCCACAGAAACTATATGACACACAAAATAATTGACTGATAATACATACCTCCACTCTAGTTTTACCAGGGACTGGTACAGGTGCACTTAATAAACGTAAAATCCATGTCTCTATTTCACGAACATCATGCATAACTAATGAGGTAATATTATCACTACATTGGCCGGTTAAAACACCCCAAACAGTGTCCCTGAAACATAATAATGAACATTTTTTTAACCATACTTCTCAAAATATGTGAATTCTTAAATTTACAATGACGTTACTTTCAAAGGATTGTAAATGGATTTTTAAAACTTTATGTGCATGTTGGACCCTAAAAGCATAGATTTGCACCATTCCACTTTTCAATCCAATGTCTGTGGTTGACCTTAACTTGAAATTTTACTCACCTTGTTGCTCCTTTTGAACCACCAATTCTACGAACACAGCTTCTGTCATGGCATGCATCAATAAGTCTTCTTAAAATAAATAAGCATTCACGGAATGTGGAAAAGAATGGATGATGACTGACTATACACAATGAAGTTAATGTATTGTTTCGAACACGACAAGATGGGCCACCCTTCCGTCGTGCTCGTGGAGATTTAGGTTTATCACTTTCAGTAGAACTCACAGTGTCCACGGAATGTGTACTGGCTAAACTAGAGTTACGTTCCTTGTTTTGCCAATCAACACTGGTAGTATGGCTTCGTTTTTCAAAAGGTCTGAAGAAATTTACACAAATTCCATATCGTACAATTCCAGAATCTTTTTCAGTTAATGTGAACACGAAGGAGGTTGTTTCTCGAAGACTCATACGTTTTGGTCCCACACTGATACATCCCTCAGGTTGACAGAAAAATATAACATCAGTTGGTAGAGGGAAGTCTTTATGATCTTCTAATGGATATCTACGTAAGAGTTCTGGAGTTTGAGCCACATTGTTGTTATTATTGGGATTCCGACTTCCAGTGATTACAATATAGTCCAATAATCGCGGACAGAAGTATTTCTTGTGTAGTTCAGACATGTTCGATGTTGTTACACTGAATGTTGTTGACCGACTGCTGTTTCACATTTAATAGTCGTCAATTTCCTTCTCATAACGACCCGACCTCGTTAATTGGCATGCTGTACAATCAGTGTCAAACTGGGGAAGTGTACCATACAAATTATGTGCCCTATAGTTTCTTGATTTACTTAGCTTCCCCAGTAATTAACTGAAATGAATAATAGATCAACCACTAATTGAACAGATATCACTGATTAATAATAAAAATATAACTAATTAAAAGTAAAAGGGAATATTCAATGATTGAATATAGCTGTTGGCTATTTGTTTAATCAATACATGCAAAAAGGTGGGCAATTGTCTGAATCTAACCAACTTTATCTCGCCATTGATAGGTCAGTCTCTATGTCTGACCTCTGCTATTTATAACAGTGATGCAGTACACAAGATCTCACACCCACACACAAAAAATGAAGACAAACAGTAAGCTTTTAAGCCGATATCCCAAAGCAGTTTTCAAAATCAAAACAAAAAATTTTTTTTTCCTATATGTATCAAAAACAACTCCAATCTCTACCAACACAGAAAAAAATGTTTTCAATGATTCAGCTAACTGTGCCATGTGGAAATAACACACCCACTCAAAAATTTAATTGAAAATTTGTATTTCAATAATTATCATGTATATCACAATAACTTAACTCGATAACTAAAATATCACTCTCCAGTATACTAGTTAATGGACAACTTAATTAATATTAATAACTGCAGTATGTCCATTTACAAATAAGGTGCAGGCACACAAACGGTCTTGGTCTGCAACAATAGAGTCTTGTCAAGAGTTTCACCAACGAGGAGACAAAAATGTCCAGAGCATGCAATTGAAAGGAAAATTAATCTGATTGGATGATAGACGATAAAAACGATCGGAGACAATTAACTTGTTTGATATTATAAATCCTGTCGGAGATGCTATAATCTTGTTATGGTAGCACAGGCACACGCCATATTTTAATCAAAACTCTAATGGGCAACAAAAATCTCTGACCAATGCCTCTTGTGTGCCCGCACATTTATTCATAAATATTTTTGAGAAACCTGAAATGTCACCATGACTTAGTGTAGAAAATATTCTATAAAATCTAAAATAACAGTTCACTCTCCAACCACTACAATTAGATCACCCATCCATTACGATCAATAATAGCCTTCTAGCACATCAACTCATTTATTAGCCTTTTTTTAGACTCGAGTTTGTGTCCATTAGATTTGAGATGAGAGTCTTAACATTGTAGAATGCTCTGCTGACTATTTAAAGTATTAACTGCCGTTAAAGATGGGTTCCCTTATTTTCATTTATGAAAAGCAAAATACTAATACTTATATGAATAGAAAGTAGAAGTGTTCTTATGACTTAGAAAAATACCAGTTTGTCCATAATTAATTCATAATAAGCTAAATTAGAAGAGAATTACCAGCTTTACCTGGATTTTAGATCTTAGGGTTGAATTCAGAAACTTAAATAGTATAAGAGTCTGCGGACAGCAATTTAGTGAGTTCCCTTAAAAGACCTTAGTAATAAATTTAAATATCTGTTTCAACAAGTTGCATGTCTTATTGAATGAATGTAGAATCATCACATTTAAGTGCGATACAGCCGAGAAGTCTAGCAGTAGATAATAGCCATTTAAAAAGTGTAAGTGAAATAAGCCTAAGCCTCCCCACATACATATGTACAGTCCCAAATTTTGAAAAAAATACAATTCAGTCTCATAACTTTTTGGATGGCCATGCCAGGTGACCTGATGATGAATAATACATTTGAAACATATGTCAACAGCATGAGGTGAATATTTGTCAATTAAATCCATAACAGAGTTAGATCATTAGTCAAGTTTGATTCAGATTACTCAGCTTAATCAATAAGCTGGGTGAGTTTTATGTCCATCTGTCAGATTTTTATTTCCAATTATTAGGTTTTAACCTTCCAAAGATCTCTAATTTGGCATAATTGCCTACATGTATGAAGTCTTTTCACCAAGATTTTGAAAGCAAAATAACTATCTTGAAACAATATCGGCTTATCATTTGTAAAAAATCTTAAACCAAATTTATTGGAACTCTCTTGAAAATTCTTGAAATGCAGTCTAAGTCAAACAACAAATGGATATCATACTTCAATTCTGTGAAAATATAAGCAAATCAAACTACCAAACTACAAAAATACAAAATGTGTACAATCACCATGCACCTATCCAATTATATACACCCATCCACTTTACAAGTTCTATTAAAAATTAGCTTAAACTAAGCCACTTAGAGAACGGTATAGCTAGCTTATAAGCACTTACATAAGAACACATTCAACACAAGTTATAAGTTTCATTATCATACTTTTGAGGGCAAAACATTTATTAAGTTATATTTTTAGTCATAATTCCAATAAATAACCTCAATTTTTCAGCTTCACCTCATACCACACATTGTTCAATGTATTTATTTATTGAACTGATATTGGAGACAGTAATAACAAATTTTATTACCAGCAAAATGTCTTTCAAAAACTTGAAATTCATAAAAAAAGAAATGATTGCATTTTGCAAAAAATAAGTTACATTTACTTTCGTCTAATTTAGTCTTTAAATATCTTAAAAATTGAAATATGATTAGAAAAGGAATTTTATTTTAAAGACATCATCCAATCATAAATAATTCATATACATGACAAGGGTTCATTAAGCTTCTGAAATTCCCCTTACAGCTTTCAAGTCATGCAATTCAGTAATTAACTGTATTGAACTAAATTGCCATACTTTTTATTCTCTGCCTATTAGGCAATTCATTTTATTGAAAAAGTCAAATATGCAATATGTGAATAGCAATAGAAAAGTCTAATGACCTTGATAAAGAAATTTTCACTCTGTATTCCAATAGACCCAGCTGTAAATGGGTTGACCAAGGACCAGCTGGGCAAAAGAATTCTCGTGAACCTTAGTTGTTATCCTTGTAAAATATAATTGTTTCTATCTCTCTTTCTTGAACTTAAAACAATTTTATGGTTTAATTCTTCTGCATAATATTGTTCACACAAAATTCACATGGTTACATTTTTACAAAATCCATTATGTTGCCAATATACATGTTAAAAGGTGTGCAATAAAACCAAAGTAGAGTCGTCATAAAATTGGCTCCATTTGACAATAATTGTTTATCATCTTTTTCTTAACAGGAGAAGTTCACCATCAGTTTGATTGTACTTTACTCTTAGAAACAGGAATTCTTAAAGAAGCTAATCTGAAATAGTGTTCATCACTCAACGTTAAAATTTGAGCCTTCAGATCCATGTGTGTCTAGAATTATCCGTGTTTGAAATTGAAAATGATGACTCATCTTTTTCTTAAGACTCCAAACATAGAAAACACATACTGGTATATAGAAATATAAAGCGAAATTCCTAGTTTGAGGTATTCTATTTTGCAATTATGCAATTTTTGAACATTTCTAATACTTCTGAAGACTATTTACATATATATAAGCTTCTTCAAGACTATGGTATCTAACTTAGCAAAAGAGCATTACTAACTTTTTTTTTACACTATAAACACTTATTCCAAAAATATCCAATATCAAAGCTTGTATGGGTAACTATAGTTTACAAGTAGAGAAAACTAATAACAAGCTTGACATATATCTCTAAAGCTTATCAAGTACATGTAGTTTACACATCAATAACTTGCGAGAATCAAGTAAATAATCACAATAAAGCCTAGGGTGATTCACTTATAAATACCACATTGAATAACAGATTATAACTTCATTTTCATTGACCTACGCAATATAATATTTCCATTTGTTTCAAATGGACCCTAATCTTTGTCAACATCAAATATTTTGAAGAGATCAAACTTTTGATTGAAATTTCCCCTGAATATCTTAAGTAGTATTGCATCACAGTTTGCGATTCAAAATGACTCCTTTTGTGATCCAATTTATTTCCATTGATTAGCCAAAATCAAAATTTATCAAATCAAATTGTAAATTTGAAGGTTTACTACTGGAACATTCTAAATTGCTACAAAAGTTTTAAGAAATGCTAATCAAAATTAACATTTGGTGTGATAAATTGCTAGTCACATTTTTCAGTCTAAATTAAACCCTATCTTAACATCATCATAAAGCAGCTCATTATACCAGTATTTGTTTCATCATCAACTTGACCATGTCATGCCATGAAATAAGCTGCTTGATCAAACTAATTAACAACTCTACACTATAATCAGATCCAGATTGACACTGACAGACTTACCTTACATAGAAACACTGAAACAAGACTAGAGATTGATACCATCAGCATCAATGATAATGTCCTACTGTTACTTTGGCTTAGTAATGAATGGATTTAAACCAGTGGCGGTGAATCCTTTTGCTTTAGTACCTTAAGGCTTAACCTTCCACATTAGCACATACATAACCAGTTTGAAGTCTGTCACAGCTTTTGGTGTTTACCTATGGCTTGGCCTAATAGTACTTTACTTCTAGACTAGCCAAATAGCCTACTGTGAAAAGTTTTGGTGTCCACTTGAATCTTCAGCCAACACAATATGACATACGACAAGACATTAACTGAGCGGTGGACCGATGCGATGGTGCTTTCTTACCGTATTGCAGATAATTCTTAAAAGAAGGTGGAATCATAGAGATATGTCAGTACTTACCATCTTGGGCACTGCGATTATGATAAACACCTTTTGACGTCAACAGAGAAACGCCATCTGCAAGAATCGATAAGAGCTGTGGTGTGTTTTGAAGTAACTTTGGAAAAAAATCAATAATATTTCTGACTGAAGTTGGCGAAGGCCCAAGGGACATAATTCAATTCTATTAAACAGGGTTATCTTTCCTTCAAATAAATTTAAAGGGGCGACGTACAAATAAGATCAAATTTTTTCAGTTCATAAGGATAGCATACTATTTATCTCGAAAGTGTTCCAAACGGCTCTAAAATCTGTAGATATAGTGAAAAATTAAGTTTGGAAACAGAAAAACGGTTTTCTATGAATTTTGAAATTTTATCTAATCGTAAGACATTCTCTTTAACGTCTATAATTACATTCATGATGTCATAGATGAAAACATCCGGTTTAATGTAGTCTTGATTGTCAGAAATACAGTCTAGTGACAATTCAAAAGACTGGAAAATTACGTCTATCTGACAGCTCAAAGATTGTAAACAACGTAATTTGCAAAGAAATATTTTGTCAAGTTGTCGATTTCTTTTTCTAATTTTCACCATGTCTCACTCGATGAAAACGTTCAAAGAAAGAAGAACTTTCAGTAAGTGTTGTTTTGGATCAATGATTTGTCGAAATATTTTGTTTTCACTTGTTTTTAATAAGTGAAAAAGGCGAATTTTCGACAGAACTATTTAGAGTATGCAGCAAAATGTGTGATCCCATAAATGGCAATGGCCATATTTTAGTTGAAGTTTGTTAGTAGATGAAAACTTATTCAATGTCTGCTTCCAGTAAAGTGACATCGCAGACTAGGTAGTTGTTGGAAGTGGTAGTATTATAAGAAGGATAAGGATCAATTGGAGTTTTTTGGAATGTTGATTTAGTAGTTGAGAATTTTGATTGAGTGAGGTCATGTCCACAAATAGCTCCCCAAAATTTCCAAATTCCCTAAATACCCTGAAATTGGTGAACATCTGTTATGCTTCAAGGATTTTATACAACTGTTGCATTGAAATGATTTTTAACAATTGATTATTGGGACTAAGAAACTAAGAAAGCTCTCTATCATCAAATCATGGGTCTCGTGTTAAGATACAAAACACGTTGAACATGTCTTTCCCAGCATCAAATTTTGCATGTCATTTCATGAATTCCAGATAGCATATAAGACTTGTTTTTTGTTATATGAATAATAAATCCACTTCACTCCCCAAACTTTTTCATTGGGTAACAAAGGCAAAAGTTTTGATTAATCCAAAGAGCGGATATTTTCATTTGTATTAAAATAATGTTTGATTTTGATCCTTGGTGCACTGGACTCATTGGTGACAGGTTGATTGACAAAACAATTTTTTGTGATTGTAGACACTGCTTTTCTAAGATTGAAATTTGTTACTATGATATATCCTTTCAGGCCAAAGAGAAAAGGATGTGGAATCAATTAGAAATCAGCATCCAGAGAAAATCCCAGTAAGTAAGAAAATAACATTGCCAACTATCTTATATAAGCAAAAGTATCCAAACAATGCAATTGTTTTTAAATATAGATATTGCTTTGTGTGCTCCATGAAAGAAATGAGGCACGTGGCATAGGTGTTCCAAAGGGATTAGCATGCCCTACCTTGCTGGCAACACCAGCCAGTATTTCTTTCTAGTGGAACTTATTTATTTTTTGTATTTGTTATTGATATATATTCCTAATTTCATGTATTTTTGTCTTTATATTGGTTTCTAGGGAATCTTTCCTGAGTAGTTACCTTAAGTTTGTTGTACTACTCTTATGAGTAAAAAAAATTCATATTTTTGTGAAAATGTTTGCCGAATTTTTATAGGAGATTGTGAAAATTGCATCTTTTTTTTTTCAGGTAATTATTGAAAGATATGACAATGAGAAGAATCTTCCCATGTTGGATAAGACCAAGTTTCTGGTTCCTGACAATGTCAACATGTCAGAATTGGTTAAAATCATCAGGTAATTGATCAAGTTCTATTGAGCAGAATGAAATACATTCATGCAAGGAAATGTGGCTACATGATACTTTAAGTTATTTCCCTTTTGAATAATATATAGTTCCTTCTTTTCCTCATTCTTGTTTTTTTTTCTAAACAAAGTGTCATTTTTTTAAATATTTGTATCATTGTCTAAAACTGGAAACTAAATATTGAAAAATAATGAAAAGATTTTGATAATTTTTCAAAATGAGTTTCATGCAACATGAAAGAGAAAACTAAAAGGGCCAAAAATTAATAAATATGTTCACAAACAGAATTTATTTTTATCACAATATTGTGATATTGAAACAGGCTTATATACTCCCCCTTGTATTATTCCAATATTTTTCTTTTTCAGACGTAGATTACAGTTACATCCAAGTCAGGCTTTCTATCTCTTGGTCAATAATCATAGTATGGTCAGTAACACAGCTCCTATTTCACAAGTCTATGAACAAGAGAAAGACCAAGATGGCTTCCTGTACATCGTTTACGCATCACAGGAAACATTTGGTTAAACTTTTTCTTCAATCAGTATTGGTATACAAGATGTCATATCTGAGATGTATGTGTGTGTCCTAAACTTTTACTTTTAAATCAGAAATATGAAAGTGCCATGGAATTTGGAAGATTTTTAAAGCATCTTTTGTTTTGTTATTGCTTAAGAAAATGTTATGGAATATTCACAACTAAATGGCATTAAGTGTTAATTGGAATTGTTTGATTCAAGTGTTATTTAGTTATTATTATTCTCAGTCCAATGTAATGCTTCAGTAAAGATTTAAATGGATTTTCTTTTTCAAGAGATAATACTTTTTATGCAGCAGTTTAAAAAAATTACTAATTATTAGTTTTCAAAATTACCTTAAGTTGCTTTAATTATATTGACTTTGCAGGAGTTTAAAAAATTGATATTAAAAGTATATTGATTATATTAGTTGAATAATGCTCCAAAAGCAAAGGAGCATTTTGCATTTTATCTTTAAAGGGATAAGTAGGCCATTTTTTGACCAATCATACTTTAGTCTCAGAAACTGGAATTTTTAAGCTGAGCTAATCAGTAATAATGTTCACAGCTCACTGCGAAATTTGAGCCTTTAAATCCATGTGTGTCTCGAATTATCCGCATTTGAATGTTAAAATGACAAATTTAAGATAACCTGTGATATATAGAACAGACATTTATTGAAATAGTGAATAAAATTTATAGTTTGAAGTATTTTTAAAGGAATTAGTGATTTTCGTACTTTTGGATACTATTTACATATATTCAAGACTAAAATCAACCCCCAAAATGGCACACCGGTCTTTTTCATTGACACTTCTAAATTTAAATATGTTTGATTTTTAAGTTATTTACTGTATATGAGAGAGTATGAGTGTTAATATTATTGTTGTATGGTTTCATTTTATTTCTTTTTCATTATCTACAATTTAAAATATTTTATCATTCTCCCTTTAAAGGGACACTTCACCAATCGTACTGAAGTCCCAGAAACAGTAATTATTTGGCTAAGCTAATCAGTAATTGTCTTCAAAGCTTTTCATGAGCCTTCAAGGGAATACAGAATTATCCACATTTGAAAGTTAAAATGACAACCTTTTTTTTTCTTGTTACTACTAAGCGATTTTTATGCATATATTTCCAAATCAACCCCTGAAAATTGTGAACCATAGCCTTTAAGGCTCTCTTTGTGTTTAACTGTTGTAATCTGACATAATTTACTATGGGTTTCATGAATTGTGTATATTTTGTTCAAGTGAAATTAAAATAATTAATATTATAAATGGACTTGTTGAGTTGAGTTGATACTCTCATCTTGGCATTACAAGATTCTGTTTTGAATTCCCTGTCTTCCTTTTTTAAAACTGCGACAATTTAAGAAGCTTATGAATATATCTTAAGACACAGTATTGTTTGATCTTCTAAAGAATCAGCTCTCATAAGTTTTCAAATTAAACCACAGTCAATCAAGGACTATAAATTGTAGTTTACTAATATATCATACAATATTTTAATCAGAATTGGAATATCAGCTTCAAAAAAGTATTAACATTATTGCAAACTTTGTGGTTTTCTGGGAGAATAGTGTGTTTCTTTTCAATGCATGCTTTCAAATCTTTATAGTTTTATCTGTCTATTTTTATGACTATCATTATTGAATCGAAGCTGTTATCCATTATCACTTTAAAACAAAATAGTTAATTCCATTTATTGATTAATGTTAGAAAAACAAACAATGCTACACTTTTAAAAGACAAAATATCTTCTAAAATAATTTATTGATTAAGAATATAGCTATTAATATGGAATGAAGATTGAACAATAACAAGTTGATGATAGTTGGAGTGGTATCACAGTGATTTAACAAACAAAAAAATTGATTCCAATACTTCCATAAATTGACCATAAGTGTCATAAAAATTTGTATATATCCTAAAAAAAATAAAAGAATAATCCTAAACATAAAATAAATTCCCTTTAACAATAACAATTGGATAACAATTGGATAACAATTATCGATATTTTGTATGATTAAAACAAGTATACTGGCAGTCTGATAAATTAACAAAATAAACAAACCAGTAGACATAATAATTACCTATAATAACAAACATTTAGCTTATAATAACATAAGGGAAACTTGCATTTTTATTAGGTTGAAGACACTCGGTGTAAAAATAAATGTAGCTGTGATCAAGTGGTGAACAAAATGATTAAAAAAATCACTATCACATCAGATATTGTTAAGCTTTTTCAAGTACTCACATTTGGTAAGGAAATGATTCATTGATTCATACTAAATGACCTAGAACAGTAACTGCGCAGCAATTATGTCAGATCATGGATGGCCAGTTCAGTCATGAAATGAAACATGCATATAAGAATTTTAGCAGATTGGATCTTTTATACAAGAGAATATGGCACTATAAATATGGCAGCAAACTATATCCATATTTTTTTTAAATATGGTTCTCATATTATCCCTATTTAATCAATATAAAACCTTAATGTTAGCCCTATATATTCATGTGGTTGTTTAGACAGACCTGACCTGTTTGAAAAAACCATGGCAAGATAATCTACAAATCTAAAAACTAAACACACAACCAAAACTGAACACATGTGCTTTCTAGTTATATTCTGGCAACGCTCCCCACATTTCTTTCCTCTGAAGCTGAGCACTGATGGTATTGGAAGAATCCAGAGAATCAGCATTCCACATCCCAACACCTCTTAGTCCATTCTTCACTGCTAACAAATATTTGAGTTTAAGACTCTGAGGACCGTCGAACCACAACTGATAATCATTTCCACTGTCCTGGAAAAAAAAATGAACACTGTTGCCAAAAGCAGTCAGAATTACTTTGACGTTTAGATATTATTACTAACTACCTTGTTTTGAAGATTTAGATGGAATGGTGGACCAGTTTTTAAAGGATGAACAATGCTGATAAGAGCATCAAAATTATTGGATAACAGAAGGGGAAGTAACTCAATTATCTTAAATTTTCACAAACCAAGGACATTAACTCTCTGTACAATTTCAGTTGCTCAACTGGTCCAAAAATCAGTTTGTGTTATGACATAGAGATCTTGTACTTCAGCATTCACCACGTGTAGATCAACATATACAAATAAATCATATCACCACATTTTATCAAAATCATTTTGACATATCGGTCTTTATCCTGTTTATAATAAATAGTGATCTACTGGTAAGATCTATGCTACCAATGCTCTCAACTGTAACAAGACAGTTGTCAATTGATATATTGAAAGGCATGACAATCATCATCAGGCTGAATAGATCAGTTATCTGATGATCTCATAGTGTGACACTCTGAGTAACAACATGATTTAGGCTGTGTTAAAGTATTTCTACATCTTCATCAAATTATGGTATTAATGTAAATGTGACATTCCATTTCTCACCTGATAATTAAAGAAAGGTGTCATTGTGGAATTATCAAACAATATTTTGATGTGTTTAGATTTCACCAGTTTGGCTATGTTTTTGTAATCAACCTGTTGCCCTGCAGCATCGCTACATTCTACACCTCTGAATGGCACTTTCTTTATAGAACATTTATTATTCTGCAAATATAAGAGAAAGTTTTTACAAAGATTGCATAGGTTCTCAAGGATTTCAGAATCTGTTACATCCAAAACATAATATCCGTGTGAATATTTACCTGCCCTTTATGCCAAAAAGTAATTTTTTTTCTGTTTACAGTGACATTAGCCTTATCTTTTTAGATTTTGAACTGTCAAGGGATAATTAATCTGCACAGCTTGTAGCACTCTGGACCTATTGGGTTTATTTATTCATTAATAGTAAAGTGCTGCTGATAGTGTCGTTTCTTGAGCAGGATACAAATCAATACATTGAAATATACATGGAATAAATAGTTTAGTCCAGAGTGCAAATCAATGGTTACCTGACTTATTTGCTTAAGAGCCCTCATTCTAATTGAATCATCTTTTGCCTATATTAAGCCTACCTTAGGATCAAACTGTAAGCATTGATATCTATAACCATACCATGGTACACCTAATACTAGCTTCTCTTCTGGTATATTTAGATTCAAGTAGCTCTTCATTCCTGGAGGTTGATAAAATATGTTTCAAACTATGAGGGAAAAAGTGAAATAACAGATTTGTGTAATTGATTAAGTTAGCTTGGCCAAAACATTTACAGACCATAGTATTGAAATCCTCTTACCATAGATGCAAAGAAGAAGGCAATGAAAACCTTACCAAAAGAAAATATGAGAACATTTCCATATGCAGTGAAAAATGTATTATAGAGATTGTAAAGAAGTTTTCTAAAAATTGCATATCTCTCAAACACAATTTCTGTATATATACATTGCATCATATATTTAAAGGAGCTATCCGTTCAACCAATCTTACCTAGGTTTCAGAGAAAGGAATTTTTTTAGCTTACATAATAAGTAATAGTGTTCACAGCTCATCGTTGAAATTTGAGACACATAGAAAACACATATATAGAAATAGACAGCGAAATTTCTAGTTTGAGGTATATTTGAAGGGATTATGCAATTTTCGTGCGTTTTAGTAATTCTTAAGTCTATTAAAGCACAATAAAGACCCAATTAAATCCTCAAAAATGTAGACTGTTCCCCTTTAAGATCAATTCTGGAAATAAACATACCTATAGCTGCATTAGTTATAGCCGAATTAGCTCCAGCAATACATTCCCCTAGAATCTGTGATCTCTCATCATACGCCATTATAAACAGAAAATCACTGACTTTAGATAAAGCATAGTAATCATAACATCTATCATCAACACACGGCTGTCTCCATGCTACATCTACAGTCATCTTGAAACAATAAATTAAGCCAATACAGAATTTTTAACCATAGATCCAAAATATAAGTAGGATACTACTTACCATATATTTGAGTGTATAGTGCATAGTTTTTGTACCCTAAAAATCGTGCCAAACTGGAGGTGTTCATTATGGACTGTCACAAATAATTTAGAAATTTTTCCAGTGAATATTGATGGTCCATTATTTTGTAATGGCGGTCAAAGGTGATAAAACAGAAGACCATACCCAACGTGACAAAAGCTGTCATATTATCCTACTTTATTCACATTCAGTGTTCAAAGGGATGAAAAGTCAAAAATTTGGAAATGAATGTCCTTCTACTGTCCTGTTCTGATGGATATTATTTGAAACATGCATTGACTACATGAGCTCTTTTCATATTGACATACAATTATACAGTAACTACATTACCTGGTAATATTTAGACTGCTCCTTCAGTTTCTGGTTAGTTTCAGCAACCAATGATGTCAGAGCTCTCCGAAGATCTAACTCATTCTTAGGTATAGTTTGTTCAAAATCTATATTGACTCCATCTAAATGATGTACTGATACATTATAAACAATGTTTTTCACCCATTTGGTTCTTTCACTGGCATTAATAAGCTTCTTTTTATCAATATCACCTGAAAATGAAACCAAAAATGTTGATTAGGATAATTATTGGTTTTGATCAGTAACAATAGCAATAGATTCCACATAGTTTTATAGAAATCTGTGAAGAAGAAGAATAGTGCCTCATAATTATCATATAGTAAAGGGAGTTATACTATATATATATATATATATACTGTATGTTGTGCATTTTTTAACTCTGACTTTCGACCATTATGTTACTTTTGTCTTTCCCTAAAACGGGATTTACATCAATGTGACCATGACAGTTTAGACTCAATGTTATGGTAACATTGATCAATTCAGAAATGAGACTAAAAGATATTAAGCCTGTATAAATATATAACCATATTATGTGAATACAATAAAGTGAAAAGTGAACTGTCTAAAAACAATTGATATTGAATAAAACAGGGAGGTCTGCCAATTTCAACAAAGAATGGGCTAGATAAATATATTGTATAGGATTGTATCCACAGCTTACTGTGTGTTTACACCATCTTAAACCTTTATACTAGACCACATCAATACATAAATATTTACATCTTTGTATGAAGGATGAGAGTCAAGAAAATCCATTATAAAAAATGTAGAGGATTCATTGTTTTCAATTGAAATAGAAATAGTGAATTTTTTTTATTTTCAGTTTTATTTCATCTAAATATTTTTTTGACTGTTAAAATAGTGCTCAATACATCAATTGTAGTGCGATATATAAATACCACTGTTAAAATGGTGCTCAATACATCAATTGTAGAGCGATATAGAAATACCACTGTTAAAATGGTGCTCAATACATCAATTGTAAAGTGATATAGAAATACCACTGTTAAAATAGTGCTCAACATCAATTGTAGAGCTATATAGAAATACCACTGTTAAAACGGTGCTCAATACATTAATTGTAAAGTGATATAGAAATACCACTGTTAAAATGGTGCTCAATACATCAATTGTAGAGCGATATAAAAATACCACTGTTAAATACTGCTCAATACATCAATTGTAGAGCGATATAGAAATACCACTGTTAAAATGGTGCTCAATACATCAATTGTAGAGCGATACAGAATTAACACTGTTAAAATAGTGCTCAATACATTGATTGTAGAGCGATATAGAAATACCACTGTTAAATAGTGCTCAATACATCAATTGTAGAGCGATATAAAAATACCACTGTTAAAACGGTGCTCCATACATCAATTGTAGAGCGATACAGAATTAACACTGTAAAATAGTGCTCAATACATCAATTGTAGAGCGATATAGAGATATTTTTTTATGTATCGCTTCACTCATCCTACACAAAAATATCTAAAGCTGTTTAAATATCTAAATAGAATTTACATTTTCTTAAACTATTTATGAATCAAACTGACTCATGAGAAGTTGATAAGGAAATTATCTTTATAAAACGTGCAATGGTTTCCAAGTCACTTAATACAAATGATCTAGAAACTTCATAAAGTTACTAACAGAATAATTATTTCCAAAACATATATAAACTATTTTTTGGACATTGCCTTGTGGTATAATTTTCAATATGTAAATTCTAGCTGTAAGACAATAACTGTCCTGTCACTGACATCAACTAGCTCATATCAAGTTTGACATAATTGTAAGAAATATGAACATAACAAATAACAATTTCTAAATGAAAGATTAACAACGTAAATCGGGATTGTTTATGCATTTTGTCCCAGTTTAGGTACTATAATTATTTCAGTTTGCACCTGTTTTAGTTATTAAATCTTGATGACATTGACAGGCAGGCAGAATAAGACATGAAAACTTTTTTAAATTGACATCTCTATTCACATTTCATAGTGTTTTATTTTAAGTTTTTGAAGTAATCATTATATTTCCAACTAAATTAAGTTAGCGTTCTTAACGCGAAAACATCAATTATCCACATTTTTTGTTTGTGATCTTTTATCAACATTTTCATTTCATATATTTAATGTTGTTTCTGACGTCATACAAGATATTTCAAAAGCTTTTACTATAATGAAATTTCCAGGCTATCGTCCACCCAGTTATCACATACCTATCATGACAACTCTGACACCCTTTCCATGAGCATGACACATCAACTCATCATTATGATATCCCACCATTACTACTGTAGTCACTTTATTATAATCATATTTACTCCACACTTCCTTCTCTTCACTTAGAGAAAATATAAACACCTGCAATAAATGACACCCATAACATTTTAAAAGTTTTAGAATTTTCAATGTACCAAAGTCATACCATAAAGATGAGTGCAAAAAACCAATTGTGAATAAATTATATTTACCTGTTTTCAAAATAAGTCAAAATAACTTGTGATGTCACTTTTGAATTTTCAATTAATATCAATAGATGAAGTAATGAGTAATTCTTGTTTTATGAATTTCATTTTGTTATAAATTTCTTAAAATAGCCTGATTAGGAATTTATTTCACAAAAGACAAATAAATTTACCAACTTATACCCTGTAAATTGGAACTATGAAAATTGATTACCAAAATCAATACTTAAAGGGCATTTCGGCAAATAGATATTGAACACAGTTCTGCCAACAATAACGATGGGTGTGACTTGCAATCTTCAGTGTCAAAATCCTTCAGAGCTTTTGACCAATGTTTCTTAGAAAATTTGACTGTCGGCTATTTGACACAATGTCCCCCATACAACATAATAATAAAAATTATTTCACCTCTTTTCTCGTTGTGTTTTTAATTGGTTCACATAACTCCGGAGTTGAACAAGGACAAGCTGTATTTCCTAGGCCGAGACAGAGGCACGATATGATGATAAATACTAGAAACACTGACATGTTGAGCCGAACTCAAGACTAAGCAAAATCGAAATCTTTTGAAGTTTTCAACCTATTCATTCATGTGTTTACCTCTGTCACGTGACTTACTAGTCATGTGACAAGATGCATTCGATGCTCTATGTTCTAGCAAGAAGCTCCAATGACATTTAAACTGTTCTTCTGTCAAAACAAATAATAATAATAATGATAATAGAAAAAGGAAAAAGAGCACTCTGGGACACCAAATACACATATTCTATTCCAAATTTTATACCCCTACCCATAGAACTGTAATAGAAGTTCTATGCCCACATTTCTTGTTCAAAGAGACACATCAAAAGAACCCAATCGAGTGCACTTCAAAATGGCTACTGTTGATATTAGATTGGTTTCCACACGTGGGATTAAAAAGAAAAGTGATCATGTAGATGAAATTAAGAATTTGGTGACACCTGGAGATGTGATCACCTCTGATTCCGGCTTCATGAGAGGTTCGTATGAGAAATATTTGGTGCTGAGACAAGCTGAAAGAGAAGTCGAGAAGTTAGCAAGCGGATAAGCATTGTCCTTTCTTGGCCGGGGCTATTTTCCACTCTAATACTGAGCCATTGCACAGGCCCTTGAAGTTCTGTCAATATTAATAAAATATGGGCAATTAAAATAGTGTCAACATACTTTTTTATATACGTTATATTTTCTCCACATTGCCCATATTTTATTAATATTGACAGAATTTCAAGGGTCTGTGGCCATTCAATGCTATTTACCATGTCATAAAACATGCTTCGCAAATTAGTTTACCACTCATTTAGTAGTAGCAGATAAATATTCATTAGATTTACAACCTTAAAAATTACAAAGAGGTACACAAATGAGGTATTCAAATACTACAAGTAGCTTTTATGGATTTAATATCTTTTTCAGGTCATGGAACTTTTATGGAAGAAGGAAAACTTCATGCCTCAGTGGCTGGAGTTGTAGAACATGTCAATAAACTGATTTGTGTAAAGCCTTTAAAAACACGCTACAATGGAGAGATAGGTGATGTTGTAATTGGGCGAATCATTGAAGTGTGTCAGCGAAGATGGAAAGTTGAAACTCATTCCAAATTAAATTCAGTCTTGATGTTGTCGTCAGTTAATTTACCAGGAGGAGAATTGAGAAGGAGGTCCGAGGAGGATGAAAAACTGATGAGGCATTATTTAAAAGAAGGAGACTTAATCAGTGCAGAGGTTCAAAATGTAATGGGAGATGGTTGTCTATCGTTACATACTCGTAGTTTGAAGTATGGTAAATTAGGTCAGGGGACATTATTATCAATATCACCCTCGCTAATTAAAAGAAGAAAAACTCATTTCCATAATCTACCTTGTGGTGCAAGTGTTATCTTGGGCAATAACGGGTATATCTGGATTACACCCAATATTGATGACGAAAGCCAAAATACAGGAGGATATGAACAGAATTTACAACCAGTACCGCAGACTGATAGAGAAGTTGTAGCCAGATTAAGAAACTGTATTTTAGCGCTAGCTGCCAATCATATGATTATATATGATACTAATATTATGTATGCATTTGAAGCTTCAATATCATTTACTGTTAAAGAACTTTTGAAACCTGAAGTGATTAGTGAAATGATTGATTTGGTACAACAGAGAATTGATATGGAAGGCACATAGAGATGACTTAAATGCTTAGCGTATGCTGGTCCAAAAAGGATCCTCTGCTCAAGAAACAATAAGATCTATTTGAATAGTACTGGTTTGGTGCAGTAGAAAGGTAGATTGTGTTCAACTGTCAGAGAGTCCATGTTGCTTATGATGTTGTTTTGGTGAATTAATTGTAAAGTTGACAAAATTTAATACCAGGTTGTAATGTTTTGTATGAATGCATTTTCTGTGTGTGCTGTGACGCATGAATGTATATGGGTATTCCAAAAATAAGAAAAGGACAGGAAAGATACAGTTGAACCATTTTTTTCTTGACAAAATGTTTAGATCATAAGCAATAAGATGCTTTTCAGCTGTGGATATCTAATTTGTAAATGTTTAAAAAAGATATGTCACTTATAACCTATAAATCTAAAGCTTGATTGATATAAAAAAAAATCGTCAGAGCTGAAAGAGATATAGATGAATAAATGCCTGCTTTCCCATTTGTTTTCAGCTATGGACAACTTTCCTTACTTAAATTTGACACCTGTTCTGGACAAATAAACAGTATATGGAGATAAATATCACCATTTCATAGGAGCTTCCTGTGATAACATATATTTGTAAACACGCTTTTGAAAAGAAAAAAATTATATTTGAACACATTTCAATGATGAACATTTAAGGTACATATTACTGAACAAGTACATCATTTCATTCATTCATTTTATAACATAGAATTATTTAAATATCTTATATATGAGCATCATCTACATTATGTATACGGTACTCAAAAGGTAATATAAAGTTATTTCTTTCAATACTGATATTAAATTTCTTTACATTTAATATATATATTATACTTTCACTTGATGGTTGTTTTGTCTTTCAAGATATAAGCATGTCAAGAACCGGTTGGATATATTCACAACATGCTACCGGTGCTTAATGAACATGGTCAAAAACAGTTTCAGTTCAGTTATTATCATATTAATTTCATTTCAGTAACATCACATGGATTAAATTTCATTAATATAAATATCAATTTCATTTCATTAATTAATCAATTTAATTTCGTTTATGATCAAATTTCATTTGATTTCAAAAAGAGTATATCAAGAGGCATGAATATAAAACATATGGTATTCTTAGTATTTGCTTTATAACAGACTGATAGCCTGATTTCAACTATGCAGAATTTTAAGTCTGATATCTAAATCCCTTTATAACATTTTATTTATTTTTGTAGAAAGTGGACAATGTCATGATATGATAGTAAGTGTATTAAATTCTACACCTATTGATCACAATAATACTATTGTCATGAATACTGATACAAAATCAAATTGAGCAATAAAATAATATTACAAGATAGGGAATGCATTTTCCATTTATGCCCTATTGTTCTAATGAAGACATAGCGAATTGTCCATAGATTATGAAAGTATATAGAGTTGAATTAAAAAATATATGGATATGAAAAGGGAAACTACAGTTTGAAGTTGTTCAACCATAGAGAACTGGGCTATTTAGATGTAGGAATAGAACGCTTGTACCTATTATGACTGTTCTTAAAAAACATCCTCATATTTCAACAGCCCTTCTATTGGAATCAATGATGCATGGTTCATTTTAGAAAAGAATAGTCTCTGTGCCTTGTATTTGCCTGTTCCTGATCCAATGGCTTCATCCTTTAAAGAAAAAATTATGATGCAATTAGATAGCTAGAACTAAAATATACATGTATATTTACGTATGGATCATTAATCATCCATTAATCGGAATTTGCTTTCCATACCCCACATTATAATGTGGTCGTATATTGTCGGCATCCCTGTACGCAATAGAGACTACAGTTTTTATCTGATTTTAATGAAATTTGGTGTGATCATTTATAGTGATGAGATCTTAGTCAAGGTTAAATTTGACAATCAACAGAATTTGAGTTATTGCCCTTGACTTAGAAAAAATGCATCCAAATTTTGTTGGCTGTGAACAGGATAGAGGTGACAGTTTATGTCAGAATTTTATTAAATAATGTGTCTTTGATTAAATCAACTATATCTTGCCCAAATTAGATTTTGATATGATTTGACACAGATTGGTGACCGCCCTGAAAATGTATCAGCAAAGAGGGCGTATCTTGCTATAGGCAACCGCTTGTATTTATATCCAATTCAACTGTATTATGACATTCAAGACCAACTCGCATTAATATATATTTTTCTTATTCCTTTTACCCTTCATTGCTGCGTAATGAAAAAAAACCATAAAATTGAAAAAAGGTACCCTTGGGCCCTCAACCCATCCCATGTCCTAGGGCCCCCACCCCTCTATCTGAGTCAATGAGTTTGAACCATAAACGCTTCCTAGGCATGATGAGTCAAGGCAATTGGCAATATGATAAATAGGCTAAAACAGTATAATCGTGAACTGAAAATTGTAAAGCACTTACTAATTCCACTCCAACAGTAATTTGTCCATCTGTTGCGTCAGGTAACACACCAATCCATTTCACTACAGCTTTACACAACGTACTGGTACCATTTTCTTCGTGAAAATAAGCAACATTATCCCCTATTTTCAATGAAAAATGATTGTTATGGTTATTTTCTCCAGTTTTCTTTCGTGGTTTTGGTACCGGTTTCTTATTAGCTGTTTGAGCTACTGGATTATTGCTTACGTCAACCAAAGCTGGAGCTGGGGTGAGGGCTAGATCCTCAAGAGAAGATGAGTTCAGATTGTCAGTAGCGAACTGTTCCGAAATAATCTGTAATTCTTCATCCAATACAAACTGAAAAATATTGATCTTTAATGATACTAGGTGCTAATATCATCTATATCACTTTGAACCAACAATGCAGAAGTATCGTCTGGTACAGATGTAGCATCTAGTACAAAATAAGTCTTTAGTAAACAAGTAGCACCCAATACAAATGTAACATCTCATACAGGCAGGACAGTAACTCCATCAAGGCAAACGCCTCATGCCAAATTTAACAAAAAAGACATTTTGTCTTAAAAGTTTAAAATATAAATATGATATCCGTTGAACCCCATAGACTCAAATCATCACCAGTATTCTATCAAAAGGATTGTAGAATTTGACAACAAAGAAACTTTGTTTAAAAAGTTAAAATATAGAGATGATATCCGCTAAATATATTTCTTATTTGATGTCTACAGTCAAGGTGGTTATTTTTTAAAGTTTATCGAAAGCTTTGCGATGAAAACATAACTAACTTCAAAGATAAATTGATCTCGCATTGTAAACAAAAAGACTCTAGTTATGGCCCTGAATTGTAGCTTCTGCTACAGAAATAGCATGTAAAATAGATGTAGCATCTAATACAGAAGTAGCACTTAATACAAATAAAGCATGTAGTGCAAATTTAGCATAGATGTAGCATCCTGTGCAAAGGTAGCATCTAGTACAGATGTAGCATGTAGTGCCAGATGTAGCAGCCTATGTAGATTGAGCATCCCTTGCAGATGTAGCGTTCCGTGCAGATGTATCATCCTGTGCAGATCTAGCATCCCGTGCAGATTGAGCATCCCATGCAGATTAAGCATCATATGCAGATGTACCATCATCAGCAGATGTAGCATCAAGTACAGGTGAAATATAAATTTTACATGTATTGCAACTACAACTAATATAACGTCTCTGAGATAGTTTGCTTGATGTCTCAATTTTAGGCAAGGATAACTTTATGGTACCTGATTCGGATCAAAGTCAACACCATCTGTGACAAGGTCATTGTCTTGGTTACCATCTTGTTCAAGATCACTCCACACTTCACCATTTCCGTGTTCCCCATTACAAATGATACCTCCCTCACAGAGTGCATCGACGGAAGACTTTGGATTGTAGTCGCTTTCCCTTATCAGATATAAAGGTTCCATGAAACCAGCATAATTGTCTACGGTAAAGAACTTTCTTTCGCCGTTATAAGCACCATCTCCAGTTCCAATAGGGTCGTCCTGTTAAAATAAAAGAAATGACTATATATAGTTAAGACAGCCAGCAATTTCGTAAAGAATTGTTTATGGCAAGGTAGGGATGGTCAAATCTTGCATTTTATCCTATGGAGTGCAGGTGACTTTAGGGTTTTTGCAAGGGTAAGTTTTAGAGTGTGGAACAGTTCTTTCAGATATTGAACTCCTTATCATGAGAGCTGTTTTTCAAAATGGTAGATTTTATTTGTGTCCATAATGTATCATATATAGAATGTACCTTCACCCCAACAGTCTGTTATCCACTACGTTGATAAAACGTGGACCTTTGGGAGAACTTTGTAGAGTTTGCTGTTTTTAGATATATGTTCTTTTCATGGAGGGAAATGCATAAGCCCACTTACGAATTCTACCCCTACAATGGTAGACACATTGTCCTGTGATTTTCCAACCCACCGTACAGTACATTTGTAATCTTTCTCATCTTCTGTATAAACTACTTTATCTCCATCACTTAAATCTGTTTCACTTCTTGTGGTCTGTAAAAAGTCCACAATCGATTACATCTCTCAAGTCTTCTATGGGCATAGGGATGAATGAAGTCTACATTTTAATATTATGCCAAACTTTCGTTACTTTGAAGGTTATTAGCTTTTCGTTTTAAATATAGCCACTACTTTGGACCGGATGTGGTATGATACCACCACCAAAATTTAAGATGGTCAGGATAAAACAACACAGTACAGTATGAGAGTGTCATAGTGATCCATGGTGGATGCATTTTGACTAAAGATATAGATTCTTTGTAAGACATATAGAAGTAGAAAGGCAAACATAAATAACACAAGATATATGGATATACTACTTCTGAGTTTACTTGACAACGTAACCGATATGGGTTTCGAAACGTAGTATGTAATAAACTCAGAAGTAGTATATCCATATATCTTGTGTTATTTATAAAGATATAGATTCTTACAATTTTTCTAGCAAATTTGGGTATTTCTTTCACAAGTTTCTTCCTCAACTCCATCATTTTGAACAATTCTTTCTGTAAAAAAAAAACCAGTTAACAGAAAGACGTTATGTATGTTTTTGAGAGCTGCATAAAGGATTTGTTTTATGAGTTGATGAGCTGAGTGGTCACAGATAATAGGCCCACACACAACTCCATAATTTGACAGATTTCTGCAGGTTCTATCATAGTGTTTTTAGGAGACTTGTTGAGCGTTTCATATCTCCGAAAAAAACAGAAAACATATGTATCATATATATATATATATATATATAAATCAATATAAACTGTAGGCCCTACATTACTTAATGATGGACAATTACCTTAATTTTCTTTTCAGAAATGGAGTGCCTATCAATAGAAGCTGTACCAATCAAGTGATTTGAGTTTCTAAAGGGATTTAAACATCTGTGCTGGGAAGCTTTAAGTAAACATCTTTTACAGAAGCAAAATTCTTTACATATGCTGCATATTGATGTGGCAATCTTTCTGGGTGTACAAAATGAGCAGTATCTTTTCTCGGGAATCACGTCAGGTAGCTTTGCGATAGAATGGTGGATACTTATCTCGGGATGCACCAATTCAAAACAGTTCTTACAAAAGTTTACGTTGCAATGTAAGCAGATAACTTGCGCCTTTGAAAATGGCGGATCACACACACTGCACAGTATGTCTTTCCCCTGAAATGACAATAACATAGTGAATATATACAATGTTCATCAAGAATAACAGTAGTAGATTTCTTCCAGAGGCGAAAATACAGACAACAGAAGACAGGGTTAACTTGGTCTTCACATGCGGAACTTTACTTGCCTAATGCAAACCTGCAACTGATAAATGGATTGGATGAATTGATGCAACACCACTTGAACCGGAAGGGTTGGGGTATTTTCGTACTCCTGCCAGTATAGAGCAACATGTCACTTCGGTCAATACGATTCCAATTTATTTTAGGATGTACAGGGCTGCAAGAGATTAAAAAAAAGAATGTTTTTTGTTCAACTTACGTCAGGTTCACGAAAAGCCGTGATATAAACATTTATATCGTGACCTTCATTCCTTTGCAGGTTATGTTCTCTGCCCCAGCACACTCTACAGAACTGGTTACCACAAGTCGCACATAGAAAAGAAGCTCTACCAGGGGGGTCTGTACAGTTCGCCGTACATCGTGTTAAACATTCCGCTTCGTCTTCTGAACGTTCACAATTTGTGAAAGTTGCTCTTAGATCTAAAACGCTGTTTCTGAGGCTAGCTGTTGTGTTGTCAGTTCGAGAGGCATCTTGGGGTCTACAGAACTCTGGTGTTTGCTGCAAAGGCGTCACATGAGAAGATGATCGCTTCGGAGCAATGACACTCAAATCTGAACAGCTTTTGGATCTCCGAATAGCATCCTCTTTGTAAACTTCAACAATTCTTCCTAGGACGTGGTTTTTCTTGGGAAAATGCTCGGTATCAAACTGGAATGTTCTCCGGCAAAGTGGACAATCTGCTGAAAATGATGATGAGCTTTTCCTTCGAATTGAATCCACGCATTCTTCACAAAATGAGTGTTCACAAGATAGAGTTACTGGGCTTTTAAAAAGATCAAGGCACACAGAACATGACAACTCATCTCTCATACCTTCTGGTTGTAAACTTTTCGCCATAATTTCTTTCTTTGATTGGCAATAGGCTGATGCTGAAAAATTAAGAAAATAGTATATGATGAGATGTGTATTATTATACATACTATGTGATGTGATGTGTAATATCATACGATAATATGTGATGTGATGTATAATATAATCAGATAGAATGTGATGTGGTGTGTAATATAATACGAAAGTATGTGATGTGATGTGATATGTAAAATAATACGAAAGTATTTGATGTGATGTAAATTATAATCAAATAGCATGTGATGTATGGTGGCCTATGTTGGCCATAGTGATGTGATGTGTATTATAATCAGATAGTATGTGATGTGATGTGTATTTTAATGCTATAGTATGCGATGTGATGTATATATTATAATCCGATAATATGTGATGTGATGTATATTATAATCAGATAGAATGTGATGTGATGTGTATTTTAATGCTATAGTATTTGATGTGATGTATATATTTTAATCAGATAGTATTTGATATGATGTGTATTATAATCAGATAGTATATGATGTGATGTGTATTATAATCAGATAGTATGTGATGTGATGTATAATATAATCAGATAGTATGAGATGTGATGTGTATTATAATCAGATAGTATGTGATGTGATGTGTATTATAATCAGATAGTATGTGATGTGATGTGTATTTTAATCAGATAGTATGTGATGTGATGTGTATTTTAATCAGATAGTATGTGATGTGATGAGTATTTTAATCAGATAGTATGTGATGTGATTGTATCATAATCAGATAGAATGTGATGTGATGTGTATTATAATCAGATAGTATGTGATGTGATGTATAATATAATCAGATAGTATTTGATGTGATGTGTATTATAATCAGATAGTATGTGATGTGATGTGTATTATAATCAGATAGTATGTGATGTGATGTGTATTTTAATCAGATAGTATGTGATGTGATGTGTATTATAATCAGATAGTATGTGATGCGATGTATAATATAATCAGATAGGATGTGATGTGATGTGATGTGTATTATATTCCGATAGTATGTGATGTGATGTGTATCATAATCCGATATGTGATGTGATGTGTATTATAATCAGATAGTATGTGATGTGATGTGTATTATAATCAGATAGTATGTGATGTGATCTGTATCATAATCCGATATGTGATGTGATGTGTATTATAATCCGATAGTATGTGATGTGATGTGTATTATATTCCGATAGTATGTGATGTGATGTATAATATAATCCGATATGTGATGTGATGTGTATTATAATCAGATAGTATGTGATGTGATGTATATTATAATCCGATAGTATGTGATGTGTATTATCATACGATGCGATGTAATGTGAAGTGTAAAATAAGTTGTGATGAGATGTGATATATATACGATAGTATGTCATGTGTAATCCGATTCGATATGACCATATTATAAAATTAAAGAATCTCTTTGATACTTACAGACTGAGTCAATATTTCAAACGTTCTTCAAGTAGTGTTTATTCTACATACTTTATGACGTTATAGTTGTAGGCTACACCTCCTTCTTTATATCTACGATATTACCTATGCAGTATTAATACTCAAACATTAGGCTAACCTAAATAAAATAATAGAAACGATATTTTTTTATCATTATTCTAAGAAGTGGTATTCCCTGATCTAAATTTAGACATTCTTTGTACGTGGTTATCATTGTGGTAAATTCCTAAATTCTATTTATAACTTATTTGCTAAGTAGTCTTTGACATCCGACGAGGGACTGGACGATAGTGGTTACGTCGATAGTGGTTACGTCAAACTGATTTTTGAAAAAAACAAAGGGATTATTATAACCGCATATTGTCGAACTAATTTTAGGAGTCAAACCCTATATTTTTGGGATAAAATTAATTAGATACTTGAATAAATTTTATGTTATCAATTCATTTTACCCTCTGGAGCTAGTAAGGCTCAGTCTCAGCATTATAGGTCGAAAGTGTACCTTTTAGCCCGGTTTTTCCAGTGATGCAAATATGAGGGCTTGACATGGAAAGAATCATCGTGTCCAAACCACACCCACATACTTTATAAGACCATGTCAAAACCCGTATTCGTGATACGATGTTAATAAGACCATGTCAAAACCCGTATTCGTGATACGATGGGAAAGAATCTATTTGTTCTTAGGCGATTAAAATTCGAGACCCTATGTGCTACAACCAGTGCACGTGTCACATTAAGAACCGAAAAGTTGCATGGCATCTTCCTGAATTTAATCATTTTAATCACGGACATATATAAAGCCTACTGCATTTATAATTCCTAGTCTTTATTATTTTTATAGGTCTATACATTTTACAATGAAATCGTTGTTATATATATTCATTTACTATATATTATAACAAAGACTGAAAGACTTTTATAAATGTGGACCAATCCAAAACTTATAATGGCTAACAATCACGTTAATCATTGGCCTACATTACGTCTGCTATATTCAATATCCCTTACTTTTCAAGAATAGAAATGTTCGGAAATTATCTTCAATTTCCTTTCCGTACTGCTTACCTTATCTAGTTAAATAACGCCTTTTATGTAATACTTCGCTCGCTATACATAGATTAGGTATAGATCATTCTCCGTAAATGGATATTTCTATGTAGCCTAATAGTATATTGACACATTATGTGTTCAGCCCCGTAACGTTGCCCCCTGGAACTATATTCGCCCCCCCCCCCCTCCCCTGCAAAATTCTAACAAATTCTCAATTGAAGCTGAAATCAGTCTCTATCAGCTTTTGACCCCCATGCATATGCGGCAGCCCCCTTGGCACATTGGGCTGGTTTCGGGCCTGTATGTACAAACATTGGTGGCGCAATCCTCAAAAAAATGTGAGTACAAAAAGACCGACTTTCTTGGATTGGCAACTGTTGGAATGGACATTTCAAATGCGGAACAAATTTCGTTTTCTTATTATCATGTTTTATTCGGTCTCTATTGTAATCCAACGGGAGCCAAGGTCGCGCACTGGCGACGTTACAAGCTATTTATAGCAGCCAGTCATGAGCCACTCTCCAGTCAGCATGCTCATAATTTCAAAAGTCATACTTTTGGTTTCACTATCCCACAAGTCATAGTCGATATTTAGAAACGGATTCTGCATGACGCGCTGTGATTGGTTGAAATGAACGTCAACAGTACGCGACATTTGTATAAATCCTTTCGGATTACAATGGAGACAAAAAAAAATATGAAACGAAATTGTAATTTAATTCTAATTAAATTGGGCGTATGTCTGCCATGGAGGATCTGAATGAAGAGGTTCTCCCAAAGAAAAATTTTGAATTGTGATTTTGGTTCATTCTGACATATATATTTTCAAACAATATAAAAATCATGGGGTGTTACAATAATAAGGGGTTTAAACTATATATCTGGACTGCCAGTAGTGCCACCCTGTTTACATAACAAAATTGTTGGGTATATTGTATCCTTTGTAGCCTGTACAGAAGGGCTAACCATGCGTATAAATCATTTAAACAGAGTTGACCCAATAAACGGAGGGTTGGGTGGGTAAATATGAGCTATTTTTATTTAAAAGCTAAGAAACTGACCACATCCCTTTACATCCTGCAATATTAGCGATAGTGACAGTATTTCAGAATCTTAAAGGTACAATTCCAAATATTCCAAACACATCTAACGTAAATGCATTTTGAGGTACCGATTGAACTCAATAAACACTATATTGTCCTTCAGTCTTTTAGTCTTGTTGACTATAATATGTGCCTCGGGTATTGAATCTGTCAATGGGCTGAGGGAATGAAGGTTATTATACCCATATTTGGAATAGGAGTGTATGAGAAAAGTAAGCGAACTCATTAGAAAATATTTAGCCTAGGTAATAGATACCTACCACAATTAGATCTTTCGAATTCCTTTAAAGCTGTCCAGGATGTTGCCAGAACTCTATACAAGATTTGAAGTGTCGTGGATCAGCTGAAGATCGTTCATAACGAATATTGGTAATACTGTATTTCGTCGAACGGTTATTTTCCAGATATTAACGACGCCTTATCATCATAACTACGAGATTAAATCTACAATAAATCTTGTTTACTAGTATTTCTGCATCAAACTGGCAATGTTATATCCACGTGTGTATATATGTTTTATATTTCTCTTTTCATAGATAGGATGTTTACAGTGATAAGGTAACATAATATTTCATCGACTAGATGTTATAAATATATTAGTAATCATTGAAAAATGTATAATTATACATACTCTTTCAGTTTCATTATATGCAGGATTTAAGCTATTTACCAATCCAACAAAGTCATGTTGCACACATCAGAGTTTGAAGAAATAAAACATATATTTTTAAAATTTATATTGAAATATATAACATATGATAATGTTTACAAATAAGGGTTCGGGACGATTTGAGGTCGTTACGAACAATGATGAAATAACCATATATATTTGACACACCTTTATATCACAGTTTATAATTTTCACTAATTTCAGTTTCTTTTTATCATTTTACTATAATAGATATCGAACATTGATTTATTGAAGGGCTTAAGCTTCTGGTTATTGTTCGAGCTTACCTATATCGAGGTATGCTATTGTAACAGTCCATTTACGCCATTGTTTTATGAATTATTATTTATGTAAAATGTATGAAACAAAGACTTTTACACTATCTGTATCTGGACAACTTATTGGCTGTTCAGGAAATGAAACAAGTGTGCCACTTTCAACTATGCCTCAACTAAGAAATTAACTAGATGTGACCTATAACATACAAATACATATTTTGATACATAAAACAATTAAGTTAAGTTTGGCAGCAGCTAATTATTGTATACAAAGTGACTTTGAAAAGTAAAACAAGAGGCCGCTATTAAATTCGTAATAAGTACAGCATTAGACCTGTACGATTACAATCACCTTGCCCCCTTCCAAATTCGGCCACCCCCTTAACTTGGTACATTGGGCTGGTTACGGGCCTAGCAAATTTAATCGCTGACTAAAATAACCGGCTGAAAATATAAATTTCTGATTGAGTCTAAACTGGCCACGTATCTGATAGTAGTAGTAAAAAAGCGATCTGCGCCCCTGCGAGGATGGGGGGGCTTTGGCCTCTCACTTTCTCTATTAGCCTACCATTTTACATAGGGAAAGAATTTCTCCAAATATTGTGGGAGTGGTTGTAGGAGATGTTAATGAACTGGTAGTAGAGGCAGTTGGGTTGGTAGTAAGGGATATTGTGGATGTGGTGGTAGAGGATGTTAATGAACTGGTAGTAGGGACAGTTGGGTTGGTAGTAAGGGATATTGTGGAAGTGGTTG